CAACCAACCCGGTCATTGGCATCCAGAAGAGCCTGCAAGTGGCTGCAAACTAAGCATCACGCATCAAGAGCTGCATGTAGTGGCAACGAATCTTAAAGCCGAAAACGGTGAGATACCGTTCAAGTGTTAGATGTCATTGATTTGTGAGCATTACAGGACGAAGTGGTTTGATTTATAATTAATTCATAGGAAGATTCCCTGATTGTTCTATTGTGCTGTTGGATAAACAAATGAATGCAGATAAAAAATATTCACACCAACTGCTGTGTTTAAAAGTCAACTTGCTTTGTGGCTGCAAAATATTTTGGTCTTTATTGAATGTGTGATCAAAACCAAATCCTCCACATATCTGATATGTATGGTTTATGTCTTAGATATGACAGCCATCAAAATTCTGCACTGAAAACACTGGGCACCATTATTCCTTTGTGTACATTTTAGCCGCCAGCAGCTGCACCATTGCCAGGGTGTCCAGAGGGTAGAATTTACCTCATGAAGTCATCACAACAGCTTTTGAATTGTCCCAACACAAAAATACTGCTCATGGGGAAACCCAAGGCCTCAGCTGGAAGACAAAAGAACACCTGTTCCAACTCATTTTGATTCAATGCACGCATAACATAACTGTGACATGATCTGATTTAGTATTTAGGAGCGGTGTGACAGGCCAACCAGTGAAGGGGAGGAATGAGGGTCAGAAAGGCCGCACAACAAGGCCATGCAACCCCGAGAGCTGCAAACAACAAAACTCCTGCCCTACTTTCTCGTCAAGTCTGCAAGTCTGCAGCCCATGTGTGTGTAGCGTGCGTATAGGCTACGTGTGTGCGCTCACAGACAGAACAGCGGGTGCATTGTAAGGCTGTGGGTGCCAGATTATACTATCAGTAGAGAAATTCCTAATATTTCTCACAGGGTCTGCACACATGTGGGAGAAACTTTCAGATTGCGACAACATCATGCAGAGTCATGCACACTAACAAGCAGAAACGACCCGATGCACGCCAACGCAGACGCACAAACACACACACACACACACACACACACACACACAATAACACTAAAGGAATATGTACACATGAATATGTGATTTCTTTATCAGAGTTGATGAGAAAATAAAACACTCTCATGTCTTTAAGCTGAATATGAAGCTCCAAGACAGCAGCTGGTTAGCTTAGCGTGGAGATGAGCAACAGGGGTAACAGCTATAGTTTTGTCTAAAGATATCTACATACCAATTCTTCTAATATGTGACCCATTTACAGAGCTGCCAACCTTTCAACCAAACCTTGTAGTGAGATTTTGTCAGGAGAGACCAAAATGTTACCGCGCACGCAGCCACGCGTTGGGGGCTCAAATATCAGGGAATTGGAATTAATTTGGTTAGAAGTGGCAAGGTTGATGATCACTGTATAGATATTAGATACTATGACGTTAATCACTAATGATGTCGTCTATCTTACGGCATATATCCTCATTGATCACTATATTTTTACATAAAATACTATGAGGTTAATGACTACTAATGTAGAGACACAGATGGGGTTCAGGTACGTTTTCATTTTAATTTATAGTGACGTGTATAACTGTACGAGGACCACCACACGGATGATCGGCCTGTTTAAGTAACAAGACCTTATACATTATATATATATATATATTATACGTGGCAGCTCTGATGCTACATATGGTTTGTCTAATTGGTCCAAAATGAAAAGGTCTATTCCTGAAAGACCGTAAAGGACTCGCTGGCAATGATCCCGTTTCTAGCATTTTACACTAAACTCAGCTAGCTAAATAGCTGCTAACCGTAGCTTCATATTTGCAGCACTTATAAAAGTCGATTCAATCTTCTCATCTAATAATCAGCAAGAAAGCACTACGTTTAGTATTTCTTCAAGGAGGGGTGTAGTGGGTTTTTAGTCATGCTAATAGAAAGCATTTTTAAAGATTAAGAGGATTAAAAAGGAAAGGAATGCAAATAATTCTCAAAATGTGTAACTAAAGAAGCTGACCTGTCACCTTGAGTGTCATTGGAGAGAAAGATGGAGAAGACATTACAGCTTAAGTTCTATGTTACGCTTTTCCAAAAAGAATCATTAAAATACACTGTAAAGGAAGATTAAACCAGTTAGTAGTATGAAGACGCATTCATTCGTGTCTTTTAAAACCCTGACATTGGCTGAATTAGTGCATTTTTCAAACATAATGCATCTGCTGATCTCTATCAGCTGTGACTGGCTCTAACGCACATTTAGAGCAAAGTTTGTTCATCTGATTCTCCAGAGCCTAATGTGGGTACACAGCGCCACCTGCAGGACAGCATGTAGCTCACACCAGCGTGACCCTGATGAGCTTCCACCGAGAGGAAATATTGAGTAGGGGGCTTAAAGCGTAAAAACATGACATCGTGGGTCCTCCTCCACGGACATGCATCAGGCAGTTTAATGAAATGATGTCCCAAGTCAGAGTATTTTTTTGTGATGATGATTCAGGCCCCTGCATGACAATCTAACTGAAGGCCAGGAACATATAGCGCTCAATGCATTGCAGAGTTCTCAGCTGTCCACGCCAAATAGAAAGGCTTATTTCAAATGGGATATTTAATGTCCTTGGGCCAGCGAAAATACTTTGATGAGAGTCATACTATTTGGTCTCCCGATATTATATCCCTTATGTCACTTTTCAGTAATAATACTAAATAGCTCACGGATTTGAGCACTGAAGTGCTTTCTTCAGCAGAAATGAATGATTACAGACGTCAGCCACAACACAAATAACATTGCATTAAAATGAAGTGAAACTGGGTTAACTGAAATCCTCTTTATTAAACATGTCGTGTGTAATACCTCAGTAAACCATCAGTGCATCAGTAAACGTAACATCATTGACAGGTAACACAATTCAAACGAGGTTTTGGTCGGAGCGCATGGATGATATATCTGTGAAATGACATCACTGCGTCACGGTGATGTCATTCGCAGCCAACGTTATAAACAAAGACAGACAAACGCAGTTAATGTACAGAACACTCAGTTATATAACTGAACCGATCTCCTTGGTAGAGACACAGTTCTTGATAAGAGGTGGGGAGAAAAACACATTGGCAACATGTGAATACAGTAATGTGATCACACATACTCAACGAAGGCAAAACATGAGTACAGAAGAGTCGGTCACACAAGTCGTGATGATAATGTCAAACAACCAAACATAACACGTTATAGTTGGAACCAGAAAGTGAACCCAGTGTTGCTACAAAGGCAAATACTACACCTATCTAACGCTCAACATACAAAACCGCCCTGCAACCATATTGACGGATTTATAGGACTTGTGCAGAGGTAACATGTCTCCCGCTTTAAAGAGAGACGATCACAACCTGGAGTAGCACAGAGGACACACTGGTGTGACTGATTGCAAATAAGCGGGAGAGCTCTCGGAGCAGTGACATTTCATAGGAGGATCCTGACCCAATGGAGGAGGAGGAGGGAGACGAGTGTGGGCTTCCACTTCTCCTCCATTAGTTTATATCAGCTGGATTGCTGCCCCTCCTACAGGAGATCCTCCATGGGGAAACCATTGTTACTGGACTGGGCTTTTCCTCCTGAAACAGATGACAGGTGGAACCACACAATCACCAAATATGAATAACCGTATTAGCTTAGTCAAGTAAAATAACGTGAGGATGTCCCACATATGTTAGAGATTTCCACCTAGAAATCTACCCCGATACTTTCCAAGTAAAACCCTCCTGTAGTTTTCTAATACTGGGACAAAATATAACATTTGTAATATGCAATGAAACGCTCCCTTACCATTGTCCATGATGGAAGCCAGCCATGTCGCACAGGGTTAAAACACGCATCGCCTGCGTTCCTGCAGGACGCTTCATCATCATCATCATCACAGCAAGTAGATGATGTAGGAGAGGAAGACGAGGCCAATGATGGCGAAAAACATCAACATCAAAATGTCCACCATGTTGGAAATGCTGTCAGAGATGGACGGAGTGGAGGCGAGGAGGACACGCAGATAAGAAAGGCAGCAGCACACATCCGCCGCTGCAGGAGATCGGCCGAGATCGGAAACGTTCGGAGGGGGAAGCGAATCCGCTCGGCTGCGTGGACGTGTGAACTAAACCCCGCCCCCTTGCCTAGAACAACTAATCGATCGGACGGCGAATGAGGCTATTCCTCCCCCCCCCCCCGTTCTGGCAGATGTTGTAGCCATGCAGCAGCTGTAGTGAACGGTTCGTTCGTGTAGCGAAAAGTGTAATTGTTGAGGGCGACGGACAAACCGGAAGTGTGACCTGGCAGACGGGACTCCGGGTGACACTGCCCCGCGAGCTCAATGACGATTTCCGCCTTTGACATCGGTGAGAATGGATCGGATGTTTACTCATTACGAGACAGTCGTCGGTTTCTGAGGTACACTCAGCTAAAAAAGATGTCCTGGAATAACTCGTACCTCTATGACCGGTTTATTCGGTCGGTAGCAGCTCAAACGGACTCCTCGAAAATGTTTTACCAACATCTACACTGTTCTCAAACAGCTCCATGATGAAACTGAACATGGGTGGGTGGTGTACTCATGCATTGTGCAGACATCTCAGACTGGTGAACAAAATAAACTGGTGCCTGGACAAGTCTTGCCTAATGTAAAAAAACCAGCCTTTTCCCACAGATATTACTCTTTGAATGATGCCCATCTTGGACCAAAGAGAAGAAATAAAATACTTGTATTTTTCTTCTAGGGAGTCTATGATACAATATGCACCAAGGTTCTGTATTATGACCCCATCTTGGGATTCAGTTTTGTTGTGCTCACATGGGGCATTAAGTCCTACTCGCTGCGCTTTTATTGAAATGACTGAAAACCTAACAAAGCTTTTTGGCAATATATTATTTTTTTAGGCACAAGTGCACATGATAGGTGCTTAAAGGGGAAAGGGTTCATGCAAGATGGAGGGCGGGACAACATTTGATGTCTCACCAAACAACTTGAGAAAAAATGACATTTTATTGAATCTTCTGAATCATAAGTACAATTTGAAGTGTAACAGGAGATGATATCAGGTCCTTAATTCGGAGTATGTATTCAGAATGAGCTTTGAATACACATTTATGTCAATGAGCATATGCTATCTTTATTTGTTAATTAAAAAAAAACACAAAATTATACAAAAAAACTAAACAATTTAAAGGTGGAATGCACAACACCGGTCTGAATGCTAAACCTGATTGTGGATTACATGATTTCACTCCGCAAAGTCTACAGTATGTAACCAGTATCATAGGAGCAGGGAATGATTCATCAGGGGTGCAGGAGCCTACAATGAAGTCTGAAGGAAAGAGGGATCTCAGCGGGGGAGAGGGGGGAGGGAGACACAGGATACTAGACAGAAACTGAATGGAAACAGGGTCAAGATATGAAGTCACTACTCAGTAGATGAGCGATGCCAGAGTAGAAGAGCGCTATTGGCGCTAAGGAGGTCAACCCCCTGACTAATAACCAGGTCAGACGAAGAACTTGCCCTCCCCCACTGCCTGGGAGATTGAGGGCATCAGATCATCATCATCACCACCACCCCCCCCTCTCCACTAACAGAGCACTATACGCTCAAATTAGACTTTGCACCAAGAAATCCATCCTGAGTCATACTTAAACAACACTGCCCATTTTCTTATGTTTTTATTTTTTTCAACCAGAACACCAACAGCTGAGGGGAAAAAAAGAGGTTTGAATTGGATGTAATCTGCAGAAGTAACAGAGTCCAAAAGTGAGAGTAGCGTCGTTAAGTAAATGACCAACCAGGAACAATCATTTCACTTATGGGCAACTCTCCGGTTTAACCAACACAACTGTGAGCTCTAGAACGGCTTTCCCACCTGGCAGCGGTTCTGCAAATGAATGTGTCCTGTTGTCAAGTAGAGGTGAATGCAAAATACAAGCAAACACTTGTTTTTGGCAAAGCTATTATCCTATTGGTTTCCAATTCAGTGATCAGCACTGTCACAAGCTATCAATGTTGCAAAAAGTTAATATTCAACACCAACCCGAACCAAACCGGATCTTCTTCCATGAGCAAACTTTTAAAAATCACCATTTCCCCTAAACATTAACAAAAAAGAAAAAGAAAGAACTTTAATCTGAAGGCAAACCACTTCCAAGAGCACCATGAGCCGTAAAAACATTTTCCCCCAACTTACCTTTATGAAACATAAAATTATACAATGTCATCTAGCTACACAGTGAGAGCATTGTTTCTTTTCATAAAGCTGAACATTTCCCCTCCACACCTTAAAATCGCTCCGGCCTGATCGCTCATGACTGATAGTAACTGTGCATCACAGGAGAATGAAAAGGGAAGTATGACCTGGGGACAATGACCTAATTGACACCAATGAAAAATGGTCAAATATATATATATTTTTTAAATTGAATACAGATCCTCCTCACAGAAAGACAGTATCTACAATGAAGGAATGATACAGCATTTCTGTTAGACAGCAACGTGATCTTGTGTTTATGAACCAACCATCACCATAGCAACACCCACCAACCAAATGCTGCTAAATTGAGGCAGATCGAATGGTTAAACATACAAAAGAAAAAGAAAATAAAAGTGAACTATTTGGGGGCTCAACTGCTCTGACTGACAGGTGACTGACCGTTCTAGTAAAGCCAGGCCTGAGTATAAAATAATGAAGTACAAGAGTGTATTTTAAATGCCATTCTGTAACATGACCCTTTCTTAGAAGATTTTAAGCATTTAACAGCTTGAGATCCGCTGATCAGAAACGGGCTCCAGCTGCCGCCACTGTGCCCACATAAAAAAAATGCCTCTCGCCTAAAATCACACAACTGATGAAATACTGCGACTGCACAAGTCTAGACAAACACTCCGGCCGTGGTTCATAAACTGAGTTGCTGGTTTATTTATTTAATACAGAGTTTTGAAAAATAATAATCATCTTACAACAACAACAAGAAAGGCAAAAGGAAGAACAGCATGAGAATGAGATTTACCACAGCCAAGGATTTAATTTCTCACATTAAATGGAAAACAAAGAATTTTCAAATCAGAAAACTAGTGGAATGAATTTAAGATGTAAAAAAAAAAAAAAAAAAAAGGATTCACAATGTAGAGCTGTGCTTGGCCTTCTCTTCTATGAATGGGTTTTCTTGGTGATTTTGTAGCAAGGGTGTGTGTGTGGGGGGGTTAACCGTCATCCCCATTACTTTGTGATTCTCTGACAGAAGGCATTCAGACCACAGGAAACAGGAATAAATGGTGTACAAATGGTACATCCCCACCGACTGAGGTGATGTATTCAGTGTGGCTGCAAGAGACGGACCGATAATGTCCCCTAACTTCTCCCTGATCCCCCCCTGCGATGCCTGAGGAAAGGCCACGGCAGAAGATGCTCTTCAGTTAGGCTACCATTCCAGTTTCACAACGAAGAACACCAGGGAGCCTCCTCCAGCACACAATGGGGAGATGTGCGTGTCTATCTATAAATATATTAAAAACCCCTCTGTTAAGACTGATAACTGTGATTGGTGCAACAGCAACACGGTGAGAGGTTAAAGGAATGTACACAAGTCAAACATTTTCAAGCTTAGTTCTGATCGACTGAGATTCTACACTGCATTTCCAGTCTGGCCAAGATCACGCTGCAAAATGAAAAGAAAAAAAGAAAAAAAAAAACTATAAAATAAATGCCATACCAACCACGTTTCAAACTTATTTTCTCCACAGAAAGATCTCTGTGGCTGCGGCGACTGACCCGTAAGGGGGAAAAGAGCTTTTTACATTTTTTTTCTTGCTATATTTTTGCAGGATATAATGCTAGGATTGCAAGCGCTGTAGCTAGGATGGAGCTGTGAACACGGCATACGGCGATGAACCTTCATTTTTACCCTTGTGACAGCACTTGTGAGTAGAGCCAGGTTTGGAAAAACCGAGGATGACAAAACATCCAAAACAGGGACAGACCTCAGCACAGACAAACGGACAAAGAGGCAGGCAGGCAGACAGAAGGACACACAGGTAAAGGGCATCGGTGTTGGAGCAGTGAGGAGAGACCAGAGATGGGAGTGGCGTTCAGGGTCTCACCAGGACAGATTCAGGAACAAGAGTAAAATAAAGAGAAAGCGGCGTTAAGATGAGATGGCACTGGGCTTATCCTTTCCTCCCTCTCTTTACCTCCTCATTTTTTCTCTACCCTCCCTTTTAATTTCCCCCCTCGCTCAGATGGCCTCCACGTAGTTGGAGGGCAGCATGCCCAGACTGCCGGTGCGCTCCACGCGGCCGTACATCCAGCCCTCGTCGATCTGCTGCACGTCTGCGATCACGTCTCCGTCCACGAAGGACACCTCGTCGTCATCGGCCGCGACGTAGTCGTACACGGCCCGGTACCGCTTCTGTGGACCAAAGTGAGTAGTTTAGTCACTTCTCGGGGGAAAAAAACACAAACCCACACAGCTTCCGCGGTTATGGTGTGCAAGGAAGGCCGCGTAACCTCATGTTAAAGGCTGCGGGCGAACCTACCCCTGTACTGGGAGGCGGGGCGGCGGCCTGCACTGGTTCAGGAACGGGATCATAGTTGAAGTTCTTAGCGGCTGCAGGCTGCTGGTAAGCGGCTGGTGGAACGGACAGAAAACAGGGATGATGATGAGTCAGCTTCACATTTGTTTGATGCTTCCTTTTGCTCAAAAGGCACATGACACAGAGACAATGTGGTTCATTGTTGTGGGGAGCAGAATTAGGTTTCAACCCATTTTAAATAAATGCATCTTAACGACAGGTCCGTCAAAGCCTGTCGGTACGTCTGCATTGACGTTTCGGTAGAGGGAGGGATTTAAAAACATGACAAGACGTGCATCCAGTGGCTCTGCATCTTGTTACGCAACCTGCAGAACAGAGGCGTTTGGTGCTGAAGTGTAAGTCAGGTCTGTGAAACACAAACAGCCGGAGCTTTCATATACTTAGCTGAAAATGTCCAACTGACGTCCTAATAAGTAATTAAGTCAATTCTGACATAATGTGGATTTAGCCATTTCAAATAGGATTATACATTAGTGAAATTACTTTCATGATTTCTTTAATAGAAAAAGAGAGTGAAAGTTAGGAGCAATGAAACTATTTAAAGCTGAATGGATTGATAAGGAGCGCAGCCAGCAAGTAAAAATGTTGCCACTTAACTTTAGTATCAAGTCATACAGACATTATTTGTTTGAGTGTGGCTTATACATTTTATTGGGGGGGTTGGGGTAGTGTAGAAAGTTCCTCAGCTCTTCGCCTACCTACTATTGTGTTTTACCGCTCCCTCATTTTACAGCTTCAGAGTGACAGTGAGATCAGCAAAATTGTATGAGCTAAGCTATAAATGAGTTTATATGAAATACCTTGGCTGGCGTTGCTCGGCTGCATGGGTGGGAGATCTCCCATAGTCTTCTTCTTGTCAAAGTCCTCATGGTACTTTATCTGCAAGAGACAAACACCAACAGTGTGAGGTCACGTTAAAAGATAACGAGCGCATGAGAGCCTCCAAACTTCAGGTGGGAATTCTTTTCTAGGCAGCAGTCCCCGGGTGCAGTGCATTTTATATCCACCAGAGGTCTCTTGCCGGCTCTTCAGCCACTTGTGTTGGGCAATAGCTGGAGTGCACTCTGGTCAAGCTAAGCCTCTGGAAGCAGCTATTCCCCCGAGAGGAAATGACATCTGACGGGCAGGAAGTAGAGCAAGCTCATTGTTGCATAAGGAGCCTCACTGACACATCAGGAAGAGCAGCTGAGGTGAGAAACAGTGAACCAAAACCTTGAGTTCAAATTCAAAAAGGTAGAGGGCGCTGGGATCTAGGGCCATGTGTATTGAAGTAGCCTTGCAGTTGCATCAACCGACTGTTAAATCAAATAATTGAATAATATCTCAGTGCTATTTATTGTCGATGGCTAATTGAACTAGATGATTAATGAATATGTAAATATATGTTCTTATTTCTAGGAAAATTAGGGCTGGATTAAATGAAAAACTTGGCTGAAGGTTTTTGATTAAATTTGAATTAAAGTACTTCATTTTTGAAAAATAACTCAATTGTCGTTATCCTGTAGCTTCAAATTAATTTCAGTCAGGTGTGAAGTATTGTCAATCAAAAAAGCTATCCATATCATTCTCATCTTCTAAAAGAGCATAGTGTGCAGGAACTATATTGTTAGGAAACCACTTTTGGCACTATTCATATTTTTTTAGTTTACTGAATTCAAAAATTAGGATTCTGATCATTTTGGGCTCTAAAAGTTTATTTTTCTGGGTATGTTTGCTCGTAAGACTTGTGCTTTGTAGATGCCATTCACATTGACTTAATAAATCGCCACTGCCTTTGAGAATTATAAATAGTTTCACACTGATTGAGGAGGAACCACGAGTCGCTCCTTTCTCGTCTTAGCTCTCCGCATTCCTAACATAAAACATCAAACATTCTCCTCTGATTGTGGGCACATTCCCCTATTAAGAAGTTCAAATGAGGCAACCCCCACCGACACACCAGGAAGAGCAGGTGACAAAGTGAACCAACAAGCTTAACCGCCTGGCTAAAAATAAATAAACAAAAAGCTCCTGCGCTGCGATTTCTGCAGAAAAAGTTTAATAGCGGCAAGCTGTCCCGCCAGTGGGACGAAAGCAGCATTCAGCGTCTCAACGTGAAATAAGGTCCCTGTGATGAAAGTGAAACAGAGTGAGTGCTCCATGACGGGACTCTATAACCCGTCCCCCTTGTTAGCAGGCCGATAACAGAGCTACTCAGTGTCTCTGTCCACATTTACAAGCCTGATTGTGTCCTGGCTCAAAGAGCCCACTGTGCTGTTGGCGTTAGCGAGAAGCGTGTTGGCGGCCCGGTCGGGATGACTGTGCGCTTGTGGGGGACAGTAGAGAGGGCGGCTGAGAGAACACTCACTCTTTTCAAGTGCAATATGCTAAGTGAGTGTGTGACGGAGATTATGTTGGTTTGTTTTGAAGGAGCGTCAAACATATGGTTTACAGGAAGTTCCCCGGCTGCCGCTGAACCGAACTACTGAGCATTACAACCTTTTCTGCTTGACAAGAGAAAGGTGACGGGAAATGGTGTCATGACAGAGCAAAGAAAGAAAACGAAGAACAAAAGAGAAGTCAACAGAAATTAAAGTCGAAGGCTGGGAGGAGTAGTCTTGTTTGTTTCTCAGCGTCCGTGGAAGAGAACCCAAAGAGCGAAAGACGTTTTCCTTTGTTGGGCTCCGAGTGACGCGCTAATTGCATCACTCTTCACTGAAAACACTTAAGGATGCGCCCCAATGCTTCCCGCTTTAATGCCCTTATCTTGATGTGGCATTTGTGTGAGCACCCACAAACCAACGCAATGTACGTGTGTGGCTCTTGTCTTTCAAACGTCCTTCTTCGTTCATCTTACCGACCACATGAAAGCAATGATTAGCGCGGAGGGCGATGGGCAATCATGCAATTAGCAAGGCCAGTGCAGTGCAGGGTAAATTACATGAAGTCCGCTTTGCATCGGAGGGTAAAAGAAACTACAGCTTTACAGGCTGAGGGACCAATGTAAACACAGCATGGCTGTCTTCAGCGCCGCTTTGTATTTACAGAGCAGTGGCAATTCAATAAGTCGAGGGATAGCGGGGAAGAATCATCCATGTGGAGAGAATTTCACTGCTATAAATTAGGAAGCTCGACATTTACTGAAGTCAGCAACCGAGTGATAGGATGGAAAACATCAACAACAATATACAAATTATTAAAACAACTTGAGATCTTGATCCAGAGAAGCTCTCGGAGGACTGAGAGGAAGAAGGTGCAGCCAATCTCAATAAGGGCAACAATCAAAGTCACGGTGGGTTTTGTGCAATGCAAAGTCTCAAACTATGCACGACCCCAATGAAGTCAGCGGTGAAGCTGTGGTATCAGCCATTCTTAAGGACAGATTCGTTCTAGTGTCCTTCACACAGACCAATTATCCACCTCAGGGAAAATTGTCAATTTAATACTGGCAAAGAAACAGGTGATGTAAAAGGGGGAAAACACAAGAGCTCTACAGGATTTGTCTTTTTAAAACCCTGAAAAAGTAGGAGCTGGTCTGTCACCGAGTACCATGTAGGAAACGGGTGGAGGGGTCAGTTGGTTGACACGGTGACTGCGTTGTGGAGACTTACATTGCTGATTTGTTCCTGCGATTTCTTAATTCTCTGCATCTCTGGCGTGTCTGCAACCACGCTGAACCCTTTCCCTTTATTCTTCTCAAAATCCTCCCTGTAGTGAACCTGCAGAAACACATACATTTCATGTTAGAAGGACTTAAACACATGCAAGGCTAACAAGTGACAATTCAAAAGGAAGATCCAATATATTCCAAAGATGTATAGATGCTCAGACCTATATTTTTTCATCATATACAGGAGTAGTACAGTTAAAAGAAAAGGGCTTCATAACGAGGCTTGATATTTTCCATGCAATGTTTGCTTGTGTTAATTTTAAAAGGAGGATAAATATAGCCCATATTCTAATGAAATTATACATACAACAAAAAAAATCAGCTTTGAGTTTTTTTTTGTGGATTTTTTTAAATCAACTTTAAAAGTTTTCATTACCTAAATAAGCAGTGTGTGTGTGTTATGAGTGCAAGCAAAGTACGGTTAGCAGAGCATATATAGCCTAGTCTTTTGCGGCGACGCTCACTTCCTGTTTGTGGGGTAGTGAAGGCTGTAGATACAGGACGTGGTAGGAACCATATATGGTCATAATGAGAGGTAGAGTGTGACCGTGTGTGTGTGTGTTTTTCCAACCTGCCCGCCCTATCGTGACCCGGACAGCGGAGAAGGAAACGTCCTGCCCATGCAGCGACCGATGACTATCAGACATTACAATGGGTGAAGCTCTCCTTTAGTGCCGCGCTGTGGCTGATCCCCACCACACACGCCAGGTACACGTTCTATTTGTAGAGCCGCACACTTTAGCTCCATCTCAACACTTTAACAGTGACAACTCAGCAGATTGCCCCTCCCTAAATCAAGTGTGCTACTGCCTACATGGCGACGGGACATTCCCTGCACTCATTCACAGAGCATTTACCCCCCCCACAATATGTCTGACGCTGCTGAACAGAGTGCCGGACAGCCCTCCTCTCACCTCACAACGCCTTGTGATGACATAGTTGTGATTAACAGCGTGTGTGTGTGTGTGTGTGTGTGTGGTAGGCTCATATGTGCAGTCAGCACTGGCTTGACGTCCACTGAGAAATGGGGTGAGAACTGTGGCCAATCCTCATTCCACGGGAAATTATACACTATTCAGCCCGCGCACAAAGATAAGTCAAGGAGGAGATTAACGTGGCCTTGACTCCTTCGTTGTCCTTAGTCTTTGCTCCCATCAGAGTGTGATCTCCCAGTTTCTTTTATTTCTTAGTCCATCTCTTTTGTCTTTTAGAGGTCTATGAAACCGCTTCTCCTCCAGTCACACCTCTTGTTTCTTTCCCCACCCACACGGCCTTCTCGCTGTGCTCCTTTTTCATTCATTCATTTCATAGCACATTCATCGTAGAGGTGGAGCTTTTTCTCATTATAAATCCTCTCTACTGCCATTTGCATTCCTCTAGCTTTACTTCCTCTGGGGATTTACTTTTATCTCTTCCTCCTTCACCCTCCACCCTTCCGCTGTGTGTGTGTGTGTGTGTGTGTTGATGCCTCCCCCTCGCTCATGTACGCCTCATTGCTGTCCCTTTCCTCATCCCCCATTTGTTCTCTAAAGATTTAGCTTTCACCTTTCCCTCAGTCATGTTTCTTTCAGTTTCCACCTGACAAAGTCTTGTTATGGGGTGTGAGAAACCTCTACCCTGCTACCATAGCAATAGGGTTCCCGTAGCAACGCAGGAGGCGGTGTTGGACGGCCACAGTTCTCGACAGAAAAGTTCAACTTCCAGACGCTGACACAGACGTGCTCATAAAGGCCGATGACGCTGCAGCACACAAGCGCCACGGGGAAAGAGGCATCAAGGAATAGCCGCAATAACGTGTCATTCAGTTGTATGCATCTATTGGAATTTTTTTAAAACAAAGACAAAAGTGGGAAAACTTTTACACAACGTTGAAGTACCGCCTGCTTAACAGGAAGTTCTTTCACAATGACCCTTTCTTACAAAACAAGCCTGATTCGCATTACAATCAGCTACTTTCTAAATTTAGTTACTGCCGTGCTTCACAGGAGAGGACTACATTTACTTTAAGCTGCATCTCTGTATCATGAAGAGAAAGTTACCTCGGTTAAAAGCTTTAATGTTTTATTTTATGTGGGAAATAAATAGTTTTGTGTTGACTATGACCACTGTGGTCTCACAACTGCTGTAGAAAAGAGCGACAAAGCTCACCTCAATTTTAGTCACGCGCCAAAAAGGCATCGGTGTGTTACTCATCTCCTTCTTAGGCCAGTGGCTATGATAAACCATCAGCTCAATGTCTATTGGTGTGTGTCGTTTGTGAGGGGCTGTTGATGTATAATCCATTGAGACAAACAACATTTGTCACTCAATCCCTTGGTTACACCCAATACACTACAAAACCCTCGCCACACCCCAGACTCATCCGTAGTGTTTGACACGGACGAGGGACGCTCTCTGGACAACACTCTTCTACTGCAAAAGAAAACAAGCCTCTCCTTCACCTCTTCCACATTAATACATCAGTCCCTCTGGAATTCGCAGTCTTTCAAGATTAATGAGGCTCAAATTGCTGAATGTGAGGGAGCGCTTTTTTTCCCCCCCTCTTACTGAATAGTAATAAAACTCATTTAAAATGCTTCATTTGTTTCCTCTGTGGTTACTTCAGTGATCACACTGGTAGAGAAGTTCTTCTGTCTAACAAATAAGGGAACCCTAACAGACAGCTGTCTGCCACATGTTTCCCACCAAACATGACATCCAAGGCAGTTCGACCAGAAATCTACAGAAGAGCAAACATACAAAGTCAGATGGTTCTCACAATTACATCTGCCTCGATTAGAGCTATCCTTATCAAGGCAATAACACAGGACCCAGTTCAGATGGATATTTTAGACTGTCGAGGGGTTTTTTGTTTGAATATCTGGATTTTGGTCTTTCTTATTTGAGCTTGTGGAGAAAGTGCCATAGTAGTATTTTCTTGTGGCTACAAATCAGACATGATTTATTAGTTTGCAACCATCATAAAAAGCATGCATATGACAGCCACATTAATGATACTTTACTTATTTAAATGTGTAAAAGCCACCATTAAAAAGAACTAGGGCTGGGCGGTATACCGGTTCAAACGGTGTAAGATTTCCGTACGGTAGGAATTTCTCACGTACCGTTCATATCGGTGTTACGCCGTAACAACTGATGTTGCTCTTTGGCATGCGACAGAATTGATTTTTACACGTCATCGCAGAGCGACAACGGTTGGAGCTACTCTTACATGTGTTGAGATTTAGTCATGGTCATAACAATGAATAACTCAAACACTCTTGAACACTAATATTCACAGACAGAGAGAGATACCTGGCTCTGTATCTTGCTCTGCTCTTTGAGGCGGCGGTTCTCTGGAGTGTCGGCCACAGCGGTGAAGTGTGTCCTGGGATAGTGTCTGACAAACAAACACACAAAACAAGACTGTCAGCACAGCAAACACACAGGCCGATGTCAGCTTTTACTCGGCTCTCATCAAGACGCTCAAGTGTAGACTCTAAAGAGAAAAATCATATGAGGGTGATTCAAGCAGTGCGCAGTCGGTTGCCCCACAGTGGGGGCATGTGTTAATAAAGGTGGTCCTGGGGTTGATTTAGGAGCCCCTGTAGACAAAAAGCATTTCATTCTTACGAACAATCCTCCATCAGTGGGACCCAAGGTCCCCTGAGAAAAAGGAAGTGCAGGCAGGGCAGCCAGGAACTATGTGGGGGGGGGGGGGGGGGGGAAGAGTTCTTGAAGGTTGTTTTGGAGGAGAGCCACAGGAGGTGTGGAAAAAGCTTTCCATGCTTACAACAAACACACACGGAGGAGAAACGGCGTGCAACAGGGTCAAAGACGGTGGGCGAGTGAATGATGGCAGCCTCGTCCTGCAGAGCGCGGAGGCGAGGCAGTTTTCTGAATGGATTCTGGGAATGTTTGACACTTCACTTCAAAAACACTTCAGTCAGCCTCCTACTTGGGACAAAATGAAAGGCCTGAAAGAAACATTAAACATAAAATATATACAAGTAAGCAAAACCATGCAGACATGCTGCACACACAGCATTCTCCCCAAAGCCGCTCATAACGGCATGCTTGTGTTTCCATTGCAAAAACTCGGTGAGCGGTATGTGCATGCCGGGCATAAGTTAATGCATTGAATACACCACAGGCGTCTGTGCACAAGCCGGAGATCCTTAAGGCAGCGAAAAACAAAATCAACAAAAAACAAACAAAAACACACAGCTTGAATCCAGTGAGAAGAGGCCTCATTGCTTACAGCTCATATGGACTACAGCTCCCGGCCAGCCTCAGGCTGCCGGGTGACCTCAAAAATCTTCAACCGCTATCCGTGCCTCTGGGTAAGCCATACCGGCAATATGTCTGCAGTTTCCTCGACAACGTTGAATAAATATTAATTATTTTTTGACAATTGTGTGTAAAAAAAAAAAAAGAAAAAAAAAAAAGAAATGTAACAATAGAATTGCTGTTTGTGTAATATACATACATTTAAAAAGTGGATTGAAGGTGTTATTTTCAAGCTCAGTATCCCAAACCCAAGCACTTTGCCTTTGTCCACACAACCACAAGCAGATTGGACTTCTGCAACTGCTTGCATTCGTTTTCCTGAAAGGGAAGTCTGCAACATTCAGATCCAGTGGTTTTCTACGTTAGAACTATCTAATCAAAAAACACAAATGAAGCTAGTCTTTTTATAGCTGTACGCTATTTAATTACAGCAGTAGAAAGGAGTCACCTATGCCAACCCAAGAATCTCTCTGGTATGTTTGTCACAAAGTACAAACCAAACGATTACTTACATTTTAAATGAGAAGCGAAGTATGACCGAGTTGGAAAAAATAAAAAAAATAAAAAAATAGAACTCAAGGCCAATCGATGCTCACCTCCAGCTTTTGAAGAAAGTAGCTGCCAGAAAGCATAACTAAGCATTTAAATAGGTCCGGATTTAGCTAAATTAACGCAAAAGTTGCAAAATGTTTTGCAGTCTAAGTACATTATTTTACAAGTATTAACAAGTGTCTCTTCCTCTTTGAGGGGTCTGTCCCTTTCATAGAAATCTTTACTTCGGAGGAAGGTGTGTCTGGTTTGCGGTGTGAACAAGCTTCCTTTCACAGAGCATCCACTGCCTGTGAAACCCTCTCCTCTCCCCCCCCTTACTCCCTCGCCTGAAGATGGGGGTGCTGTTGAAAAAGCGCCACCTTAACAGCACTGCAGTCATCTTCAACGAGTCTTTAGAAACTGTCCTTGGACTATTTAGGGTCACTGAACTGCTATGTAAATACACAACAGGGTTGAAGATAAACGCTTAGTGACTCAATAGGATCTAGTAATGCGTGTGTGTGTGTGTGTTACTAACACTCACATTTTCCTGCCTGTTTATAAGTGAGTCACAAGAACACTCATCTATCCGTCAGGTTGTATAGCGAGGGGACAAGTTACAGACGAGTGTGGGTCACATGCACAAACTCAGTTAGCACTGTGATGCTAAAGAGGGTCACTCCCCCAGCAAACAAAATGGAGAGCAAGACGTACTGCTGGGAAAGGGGGTCACGCATTTGTAATCACGCGCAAACACACACACACACACACACACACACACACACATACACAAACTGCCTACTGTGCAGGAGGAGAGGCCTGTTTGCATCGTGGAAGCAGGAGATGTGGAGGCCAGCTTGACCCTGTGGGACCTGGACAGGTTGTAGTGCATCAATGCAGCAGAAAAATGTTATCTTCCCGTCACATCGAAACATTTGCCTAAACAAAGCTCTTCTCTCCGGTTGCAAAGAGTTGACTGCCGTACAGGGACCGGTAGAAGCCATTATGCTCTCCTATCTTTGCTCATTTAGATTTCAAATGAGAAAGGGCTTTTCTCATAGACCAACACGCAGGGCAGCATACTGCCACAATGTCAAAAGGCTTTTAATTTGGAGTGGTTATTACAAAAACATTTAAGGTGGTGTTTAATGGATGAAAAACTGGCAGGCATTGGGAATACTAATTAAAGTGTCACCACATTTATGATTGAATTCCTTTTAGATTATCAGCCATTAAGGCGGTGTCCCAAAAAATTCTCCCACAGTCCCCTGGGCAAAGATTCTTTATGTCCACTTATCTGCACTCCTAAATCTCCCACAATCCCCCTCCCAGTGACTCTACAGCATCTAATCAGGGCTGAGGCTCTCGGGGAAGTGATGGGTGGGAAATACAGTGAAAACAAACAACGCCTATATCAATTACCGAGGACAAATATAGAGGAGTAATGATAAAGTAGCTATCCCACGGAATAATGACAGAGAACACGGCCTGCATTCCTTTCCTGAACTGATGGCGTTTACATAAACAAGGCTCGTCTCAAACAAACGGAAAGAGGCATAATAAAGCGTCTCTGAAGGGCTTCGGTCCGGAGAGAGCAGAGCCATTGTCGGAGACAGGAAAGGGAAAAGAAGAAGCCAAAACGGACGGACACCTGCTGTAAGCAATTAACACCATAAAGAGTTTCAAAGAATGGAAGAGGGAAGAGGGATCAGGGTGAGTGAGATTTGAGGAAGTGTTTACTGTCAACGATATTTAAATTACTATACGTGTATAATCAGGCCCACATACAGGTGTTGTGTCTTCCTCCTACAAAACCTGTACAGAGAAAAGGCCTGGTGCATATTTTTAAAGCTTACACAAGAGCACATTCACCTGGGAGTGTACTCCAGAAACAGATTAACACATTTGGTTAACCTAGATGGGATTTGCATGTATGCCAAGTTTTTCAGCCTATCAAGTACAGAGAGTAATCTTGGGTCTTTTTTTTCCCCTATTCAGGTTAAAAACGTGGTGACAAAGAGTCTTTGCAGTGCGAAAATATAAATTCAGATGAAATTATATGGATGAGAAATATTCTTCTTGAATGGCAACCCTAGCATGCCCTTCAGTTATCTGTAGATAACTAGTAAAGGCTGGTGCATGCTTCTGCGTCGTTGTGTCGACGCACTCGTTTCAATTCATGGTTCTAAAAGTCTTGCGTGTGTTGCAGAGCAGTTCACCGCCAGAACATCAGGCGGAGTAACGTGTTTTTGTTGAAGACGACCTAGAGAGTCACGTCTATTTATTTCTTTGTTTATTTTTTTACCATAGACTTTATTGCCCCGCGCATCGCCACTGCTGCTTTTCATCGCGGACACATTTGTCCCGTATTTTCCTCCACAACTTTGTGCACCTCTCGACCGGCAAACAGGCGTTTGCGGCAATCTTCCTCCGTGAATCCAACCCGCTTCTACAACCCGCCAATGACGGCTTGTACAAGCGGTCATATTTACGCATTTCTTCCGACAAAAAAATGGAGAAAATGATTATAACTAATGGCAGATTCTAACGATGCCTGATGAGCCTTTAGTGCGTGAGTTTGTTCTGGGGTGCGAGTGGACATGCAAGTTTTTAATGTCCGCCTATGTCACTGTAAAGGAACTTTAGGAATTTCCTTTGTTGACCCCCCCCCCGCCATCCCCCTCCCTCGGAGGAGGAAGGGAAGCATTTTCCCACAACACACAGTCCTTTTCTGAGAGCGTGGGGGAACTGGAATAGTCACTGATAAACAGAGCGAAAGACAGAACATGATTATGCACAAACACACACAAATCAGTGATCGAGTGATGCGGGCTGAAACAGCAGAGAACATTAAATGAAAAACATACTCGTTGACATACACAAGAATGATGACTTGGGGACAACTTACGCATTGCAGTATGGTTTCTTCCCAAAGCCTTTGTAATTCTTCATGTTAAGAGTCATTTTGCAGATCTCGCAGCTGAAGCATCCTTTATGCCAGTACTGTCAGAAAGAAGAAGACAGAAGACAAACATGTTAAGGGAGGGATTTTAAAACATTAGTTTCATCTTAATTGGGAACTCAAAATGACCACATAGACTCACGCAAACACACTAAGAGCAAGAACTACTTTTTATTCCCCCGAGGACCTGGAGAGAGACTGAACGAATAGCGACTGTTAAGCCGGTGTGAAAAAAAGTGAAGTGGTGTGGAAACACAGTAGCGTGTGTCCTGGCACTGAACAGTTACAAAGAAACCCACGTCCCTGTTTGCCCGCTAATTGGACTTGAATATTCATAAGGCGATGGGACTAGTTGCACGGAAATGCAAAGTTTGGGATAGAAAAGCACACATCTGCATTTTCACCATCCAATCCGGTGACATGCAGTTGCACATCTGTGTTGCTCTCAGCTCAGGGCGCAAATTACCAGTTTATGTTTTCTACATTCAACAACAGAAGCAGTGATTAGTCTGAAAGCCCACCTGCACAGCCACTTTCCATCTTGATAAGAGGCCACGCCCTATTTCTCCCACCACTCAATCTGCCTCACTACGCCTGCCCCCTCTCCTTTTTCTTCTCTGGCACAGGGCTGATCTGCAGCCTGAGGGTTCAAACAGGAATCGAGGGAGCCTCGATTGGAGACAGAAAGGAAGCCTGAATAGGAGGAGCTGGAGAGTGCAAGAGGAAGGGAGGGTAAAGAAGAGAACACACTAGAGCGAAGCAATGATCTGGCTTCTCCTGCCGAGCAAAGGGAGAAAGGAGTGCAAAGAAATGGAGAGGGAGGGAAAGGGAGGGTAAGAATGAGGGAGTCTTTATGAACATGTCCTCAGGGCGCCATGCCGTCCCTCCAATTCTCTCGCTCACGTCTACACTAATTGCCCGCATACAAAAGCACTAATCTTCTAGACAACAGCGCAGGAAAAAAAAAAAAAAAAAACTGATTCAACGCAGAGGATAAAACTTCTAAACTCGTACCGCATCACTTTTCAATATTTCACTCCCAACTAGGGCTGCAACAACAAATCGATGAAATCGATAAAATTCGATTAAAAATGTTGGCAACTAATTTCATTATCGATTTGTTGTGTCGCGCAATTATTACATCACTCAATGCGGCGATGCGGGCAGCGCAAAAAAGAAAAGCCGACGTAGAGGACCGAGCAGGCAGCAGCGCCGGCAGTTGGTGTGAGTCACATGACGCAGGCAGAGACGTCTGTTCGACTAGTCGTCCAAGGTGTGCGAGCATCGGGGGAGGGGGGGTGGAATGGGCTGACGCTACGGCCGATGGGGAGGTTGAAGAGGAACCGAGGTCAGATTTTTTTTTTGCATGCGAAATTGGATGTGTGGCGGGAGTGCGTTAAAGACCGAAATGAGTGACTGTCACGCTCAATTTTATTTACTCGCCTAGGATTCATATTTCAATCTGTTTTCTTGTATATCATTTCGTGCTTTGTCCCATATCGGTTATTGCTCACATATATGTATTTGTGTGTGTACTTTTTAATGCTGTCATTTACGGTAGTCTAGTGCGCACATACTGGGTTATACACATGATGATGTTGCTAAACCAAAGCGGCTAAGAAGCCGCTAATGCATTTATTTACAAATGCAGTTTCAAATTCATCTCATATTTTAGCTGTACTTAGATGGGGTGTATACATGTACTTAACTTGCACTACAATGATGGTAATAATTTATTGAAGCAGCTTCAAGTGAACATGGGAGTGTGTGCGTCTCTGAGCGTAGTATAGAGAACAAGTTGTCGTTAAATCCAATCCTGTTAAATTTTCTGATTTGTATTCTTTATAAATTATTATATTCAAGTAGGAACCTGTACTTTCTGGAGTATTTTTGAATTTGAATTGTCGTGAAAGCTGCAGATGGATGGAAGATACGGTACGTACTCAAATACACACCTTTTATTTCCTTCCATTATCGAACAAGAATAAAGCTTCAGGGGGGTATTAGGAACAGTCTTATCTGTTCTGTGCGGATGTAAAGGACCACCCAGGGTAAGAGGCAAGAGTGCGTTAGTGTTTGTAGCCGTGAGCCAGCAATATTGTACTAAGGCATACTAGAGGAGGCCGAGTCTGGGCTCTGATCAACAGCAAAACACAGCCTTCCAATGCAAACTCCTCATCCGACCACGCCCCGAACGCGGCCCGAGGGAGCTGCAGATGGACGGGTCGTGTTGCTCTTTTCGCGGTTCTTAGTCTCAATTGTTCTGGCTCGTGCTGCAACGCCAAATCCCTTTACAAACAACATAATGCAGGCAGATTATAGTTTGTCTAGCTTCTGCTGGTTTTGCAACTGGCTGCCATCTTTGCATGAACACGTTCTAGTTCAGGCGTGCCAAAGAGTTTGTTCGCAATCGACCGGGTGATCGTCAAGGGAGTGCCTGTGGATCGACCGCGGCAGCTAACGGAGAACAAGGATTGCATTTCAATTTCATTAAAATTCAACCCTTGCTGACACCAGCGCATGTCATCCCAGTAAGGTAATGACCAAGAATCGATCAAGTTTTGATCAACTAGTTTTGCACCTACGTTATATGGAGTTGTTGTTCCGTTTGCTTACAGCTAGTACTCGTTTGATTGAAAAGTAGCCTGAGCAAAAATGTTTGTATTCTCCGCTATCCACCTTCTCCTTTCCCCAGATCTGTAATAATGATGAACCAGGCCTAGTAGAGAAGTGTGAAAGCAAAAGGTGAGTTTATCAACTGAGCGTGGACTACGACCCTCCTGTTGGTTCCCTAAAATCATATCGACTAGGCATGGTCTTCCCGAGGGAACAGACCTGCCGAACTTAACCCTTCAGTGGACTAATGACAAAAAGGTCTAGATGCAGTCTCGCAGCACACCGGACCGACACGCCCACTTTACTACACAACCTACCCCACTTGACACACTTAACTATTCCTATTCCCTAGTGGGGGGACGCCCACTGAGCCACATTATACGTGGAGGACCAGAGTAACCGCTCAGTTGAACACTGGTGACTTTGGGTTCACAGCAATCTGCCTCTTGGATGAAGCAACAACAATTACACAGTTCTCACGCAGGACGTAGCAAAATCGCCCGAGTGGCCTGTGTCCACATTTTTGGCATAGTTGGAATATCAAAATGTAAATACACCGAGACCAGGTGAACTTGAACTTTTATACAGTATGCATTTAAGTTCAAGCAGAACACTTTTTATTTGCTTTCTTGTTAGACTCAAAAGTTTCTCACAGGTTAAATCAAATGTGGAGCCAGGTAAAATACAAATGTCAGACCCAGTCTACCGAACTATGATATGATATATATATATATATATAAAAACAATCCCAATATCTGTTAGGAATATATAAAGGAGTTTAGTTGAGGATTACGACAAATGAGGGACGGACAAACGGCAACGTGGGGGAAACAAACACCACCCAGCACTTGGCCTTGTCCAGCTCCAGGAAGAAACCTGGCACCTGGCTGCCGTGGCACAATCTGGCAGTCAGCTGTAAATTGAGGACACTGCAGAGACGGAGCCCTAGAACTAAAACACCAGTAAAAAAAAAAAAAAAAAATAGCACTTTCTTTCTGCATCCTTGCAGCTCAAGGGCAGATGTGTACGTGGGTTTCTATGTGTATGTGAGCAATAACTGTGCATACTAGTCTGTATGTAGGTTATAGGTCTCCGTGCATGTTGCGTGTCGATGGGGAAGACTCCATCCACAAGTAAGAACAATTAAATAAAAATGCTCACTCAGCCTTGCAGCTCCCTCTCGATGAGAACCCAATGCAATTTCAAATAACACGTATGCAAACATGTCACACAGAGTGAGGGCTAGTGGGAGTCTGACCAGGAGTATGCGCTCATGAACTAGCATCAACCACTTCCTGTGTCTGTATGACGCGTCAAATCTAAACTAGGCACATCTTTCACGTTGTTTGGGCAAATAAATATAGCAACACATCTACCTAACCGTCATTTCATTTGAGTAGAAACAACGGCTACGTTATTGGTTTTCTTTAAATGGAAACGTGAGCAAGAAGCTGTGATATAGGTTACCAAAGTGAGCTAACAACACCCATGTTCTGCGAGGTAAAGTGAACCAACTCCGTTGAAAAACAAAACAGTGAGTCACAGAACGCAGGAGTTTGAAATCTACGGCTGCTTTTACTCAAACCAACGTAGTATCCACACAGTGGTGGGTGGCTAAGCCTCCAATCGCGTTTGCTTCTTCATAGGGCAGTAAAAAATCCCCCTAGTGAATGTGTAAGATGAGGAGACTAATGAATATCACATCAGACACAGACAGACCTAAAGCGGAGTTGTGCAACGTCAGGTCATGAATGTAGTAAAGAAAAATTGCTTGTATCACTTAAAGAGAACCCCTCTCCGCCCTTTCAGGACACAGCAAGTAAACAGAACAATCAATAATTACCTATTGGGTGACTCAGAGCAGGCAGGATTCCCAAAACTAAGCTGGTGTTCTGTACAGATTAAATTAAAGGATTACATTGTATTTAAATTTTAGATAGAAGACAATATATAATCAGCAGCCATTCACTTCAGCCAAAACCCCTGGCACATTGGGCCTCTAAAGATACCTGGATGACTTTTTCAACTCTGGTTTATTTTCAACCAAAAGTCTGGAAATATATGACAAAAGCACACGCGCACACACACGCAAACACACCTTATTTGTGAAAGACTATTCTTGCGTAAGCATTATAAGCCTACAGATACAGTGCCAACATCTGGCAGGTGCTAATAATGCAAACTAACTCATTAAAGCATACTGGTTAATCCCAACAGACTTGATGCCATTCATTTTTGCACAAGCCGAGGGCGTTGCTGCTGGTCAGCAGGCACACAGACATGCAGGAGTAAAGTACGCACTTAAACCTTCCAAACCACTCCAGACTGATATCCACCTAATAAACATCCTGCCACCCTGCAACAAGACATTAATACCAAAAAAAGATTAGATGAGCAAGATGAAAGTCAAAATGTCAAAGCACCTCTGCCGTGTCATAACTCGTTAGAAATTCTTGTTTCAATGTCTATTGTGGCTCGTCTTAGATGAAACCGTCCGTTTCCATGAACTTTATATCAAATGCTGGTACAAATAACAAAGTTGTACAGGGAAACAAAACACGTGCACTGGTTCCCTTTTCTGATGAAAAGGGCACAAAAGGAGAAGCAGCTTGCTGCTAACTGTGGAGTCGACACCTTGACTGATTTTGACTGTGATGTTCATTGGTGACTGAGTCAAAGGGAGGCGTCTCGTGGTGGCTGGACAGATTCCTCACCTCCACTGGCCTTTGGACAACATGAATCAACTTTGAGAATAAATCAGTCTAAATATAGACAACACTGCTGAAATAAGATTACTCCAAAAGTAAGGAGGAAGTGGGTTTACAGGAGAGCTAAACCTCCCCGGTTAAAATTAGGACATATATTAGAGTTTGGGATTAACAGAGTACAAGATGTAACATTAAAAATAAAATTCATGTAATGATGAACTGTAAATAGGTTATTCTATCCAGCATGGGGTAGAAACTTGCAATTCTCATAAGAATTTTCATATTTGATTAGAGATGACCATGCATGACATAAGCACCTCATATTGTAAAGACTGTAGGGAGCTGTACAATATGCATACGGTACACTTCTGACCTTTAACTCGGTTTCTGAATAATTTCCTGTGAGTGAGAGGAACCAGTACAATCGAAACAGAAACTCTAGCCAAATAACACAGCAGCTAATTTGTTAGCTAAATAGAAAAATAAATATACCGCCAAGTTGTAACATTTAAGAGCACGTGAACCAAAGAGTGTCACCGCTTAAACAATACCAATAAACAGATTTTAAAAAGTTGATATTACACATCCGGTCTCTGCTGTAATTGATTGAACGTTGGAGGGCAAAAGGTCATTTCTTGGCCGTCTGGATTTTAAAAGCCTTCAACCACACGCCGACGTAAAGAAAATAACCTTGCAACCTCATGTCCTTGCGTGTGGGACTTTCTCCTCCACTCATGGACTGCATCATATCTATGATACCATGTGGGAGATCAGCTGTTGCATAAAAGCTGTATCATAAACAAACCGGTCTTTCCTCGGAGGAAATCTAGCCGATATTTTGTATAAAAAAACACTTGACTGTGTTTGCAATGTCCAAACATCTTGACAAGAGCCTAAACACATTTCTAGCCAGCAGCAATGTTCGTGCTTCATACTTGTTTATTAGACGATGAGCGGTCAGATCAAGACATTTATTGAGTCTGAAATACTAGATTCACTGACATTTGGGTTGGTTTACTACTCAGGAACCAGTTACAACATTTCATAAGAGCAAAGCTAAATATGAATACATTTTGGAGGGATATAGGCAGACTGTCTTTTCACCTGCAGGTAGGAACAGGCCCTCTGTGATTCAAATATGCAGACAACGTGTGGATGAATGACGCCACTCCAGCAGAGCGTCTCGCTAAAGCTTCAACCGCACTCCACCGATCTCTCAATTCATCTTGACAATACACTTCCTGAGTGCTCGGAATAGCTAGAAAGCCAACAGTGACACGTACAAATCATTGCACTTCTTCAGTCATTACCCTTTAATCGAAATGTGACCAGTTTTACGGCTACTGCTTATATGCAAGGCACTGGTAAATACAATGTAAACGCCAACCTGAAAGATACAAGCCTAAGCCGAATAAGCGGCTCTGACAAATCGACAGTTACTCTATTAAAAGTGAGCCACACAAGAGCAATCCTTCATGAACAAGAGCCTCAACCAACATTCACTTCCTGTCTTTACATGCGCTCGGCCGCCCGCTTCTCGGCTGGGCCCAGCCCCTACTACGCTGGAATTTGGCTGCAGACAGACGAGCCTCTGTGGCTCAGCCCCTCCACACCACAAAGGGAGTTTTTTTTAAAGGAAGGCTGGATGAAATTAGGTATTCATCGGTAGCTGGAGGTCAGAAGTGGTGAAAACCTGCCATCCCAAAGCCTTCACCTGGCACACGGGAGAAATACCCCCAGCCAATGTGGGCTCTTTGCTCCTTTGCACAAGCGCACCGAGAGGGGAAAAGAGGAGGTTGTTTTGCGTCTGAAGGGATGAGCGCTGATGCGGAATGACTGCGAAGACAGACTGCTCTCTGGCGCTTGGTTCAGACGTTTTATGGGAGTGCCTGCCTGCTGGAATGCACTCTGCTTCGGGGCCAGATACCAAAGCACACGGACGCGCCGTGTACCCGCCTTCGAACCGGCTAACGTGACTCACTGTTAGTTCAAGGTTCATGCAGGGAGAGCGGTTTCGAAAGAAAATCCAATTCTTGTCCCAAGCTCTCTGGGAAAACTCTAGTCACGGTGCATTCAAGAACACATCCATGCAGAGAGCTATAATGCATTATGTTTGTTTAGATAATGTGCTAGGTGGGCTCCCTACCCCCAACTTCCTTGCCTGTGGACCCCAGAGGATGAAGAGGAATTGACTTTCAATAGTGATTGTAACGACCCATCGGAGCCAAAAAACAAGAAGTAATGTGTCTAAAGCCCCTGCTTTGGTAAAGATATGCACATGCCAAACAGTCTTGTACCGCTTCAATCTGGGATAAGAGTGAAATATCCATCCTGTAAAGACATTCCGGTAAAAACGAGAACTGCAGTAACGAAACTTCTCCTTTTCCGTCCTTATAAGTGACGTGTTGAGGGGGGGGGGGGGAATGTTGCTGTAACAATGTTTTCGCAAATAATTGCTCCCCTGTGAATTAGTGACCGGGATACCAGTCAGTAAGGGTAAATGATGAGATTAGCACTTCCACTGAGATTAAGCTACTGCTTTTGACTGAAAACTAATCTAGGCTTGTTGCACCAATGATTCCCGACGTGGATTAACCGGTGAATGTGACACGGATATCAGATCAGTCCACGCTGCCCACAAAAAAGGGGAAAAAGCGTCATTATCAGACTATATTCATTTCTTACGAAATCCCGTAGTCGTTTAATATGTTCAAAGCGGAGTTTGTCGAGCAGCTTCGAAGCGTTAAACTGCCGCTATTCACCGGGTTGCTTCACAGCAGCAGGCCCGAGCGAGGCTGGCGGAAGCGGAGGAGCTGTTTTTTTTAGAGCTGAGTCCGTTTCGGTATGTTGGGACATTGTGGGGTGAACGCCCAAATATACATCTATACATCTACATCTCCGCCCACCCCCCCATAGTTGTATATCCCTATTCTGTCGAATGAAGACTGTTACCCCCACGACGTCGCGTGTATCAAGTGCGGGTCCCGCGCCCCTGTGGCGTCGCCCTCCAGACGTTGAGCTAGCCGTTAGCTTCCCTTGCTAGCGAAATACCTGTCGTGTCCGGGTGTTGAATTCAGTCCCCCCCCCCAAAAAAACACGTGAAATGTGTCGTTTTAGGGAAGCACAAATGCGCGTAGACAACAAAAGGCAGCGTATTAAGGGTGTTTTATACAAGAAGCGCAGAATGTAAGACGACCTCGCGTTCTTCGCGAGGTCGCGTTCTTACCTTGTCCAGACAATTCACTTTTTCCGTGGGGTAAACGACTTGTTCACATCTGCTACAAATCGGATTCATGTTGGAGGAATGCTCTTCTAGCTAGTTAGCACGGAAGCCACCGACGATACTGCTTGTTTCTGCTTCGCGCCGTCGAGTCCTCACTTCGTAAACTAGCTGTGGTGTACGACGTGACCGGCGGCAGACCAACACTAATCGAGTTGTGTTTAGCAAAGCCAGGAGATTGTTGTTGTCTTTGTAGCCACACAGCTGGCTGTCAGTCCACTAACCAGACACGTAAAGCGCGCTCCCGCTCCCCCCCCTTGCTCCCTCCCTCTTCTACGCGCGTCCGTGAACAACGGGAAGAGGCGGCGTGTGAGGTTCATTTTTATTTTTTGCGAAGGAGAATGTTTTTTTTTTTTACTTCTAAGAAAGATTGTGTTACTAGACGAAAGTGGTGTGTTTTGCAACAAAAACCCCCTTTTTGGTAATTGTAAAAGAGTGGGTTGCCCTGTGGGAACTCCCACAATGCCCGTCTCCGCCACATCCCGGCTTGCATGAAATCTGGTGGAATCATTTTACCTTCCCAAAAAGGGGAAGGGGGGGGGGGGGGGGGGGGCTTTACGAAATCCAGTTATCTCAATTCAAATTTTTACACATCTGCCACGTTCATAATGTGGGACTTGGTGTCCATGTGGTCAGTCTGACACCTGCTGACGAATGAGCTGTACTGTCTGCATCGTGCGTTTACATTTACATACTGCGTTATTGTTTGATATTCACTCATTTCATGTTTGGCATGTGCTGCTGAGTCTTACATAAAACCAACAAAGCCTTTAGGCTCGATTACATCAGGAACTGTGCAGGACATTATTGGAAAAACAAAAGGTAGAACAACAAAGAATCAACTCCACCTTCAAAAGTAACAGGAATTGAAGCTTAAGGACAACCTATTTGTTTGATGTAAAACAGTATGGTTTATGTATTTCATCTAAGGTTGCCAAGTTTGTGACATGCATTACACAGTTTATTGTGGGTGAAATGACACTGTATTACTGTATTGTAGATATACTGTACATTTCCAATGAAAATCCATTCAATATCATACAACATTCAGTCCTCGTCGATGCAAACTGCTGCATCTTGCAATGGAGACATCATCCAAATAGCTTTTTGACGAAATTTTTTTGTAGAAATCTCATCAATACAAATATTTATCAGGGTTTACATTTGTCATTTCAACATGGACCGGCTTCAACAATGCTGTCTTTTTCATGACCTTCTCCTTCCACTTCTGTGTACGCAGGGTGTTGCTTCTGAAACTTCAACGCCGGCCAGTAATCCTTGCGTCGCTACGAAAAAAAGGATCAAGCACAGAAGAATTGTGTGGCCGTATGTAATCAAAGCACGGCTGGCTCTTGTCAGGGCAAGTGTCGCTCACATTCAATGCTCACCTGGATGAAGTGCAGTCGGGGTGCAGCAGCATGGGAGTGGATGTACAGAGCTACAAGTATCAAGGCCAAAAGTAACACCAGCACAGCTGCTACACCGGCTATCACTCCGGTGTTGGCCCACCCGTCACTCTTGGTTGAAGAATCGGTCCTCACGTCTGTATCGAAGATGAAGCCCCAAAATGATCTCCCTTCAAAAGGCTTAACGGTGATGCCACTCAGAAGTATTAACTCACCTTTGCCAGTCTGAAATACAACATTTTTGGTCTCATCTGAAAAAGTGAGAGAATGCAGTTATTTTCATGCGTTATTCCAGGGCAAAATCTCCTTTTATTGAGTTAAAAGAATGTGGTGAAATACTGCATACAAGATACCGCATTGTATATCAGTCTAACAAAAAATGGCTGAGCTTCACCATCACGACCTTTTTGGAGAGGAGTCAGTGAGGACACGTCCTCCATCTCTGCTGAGGTAGAGGAACCATTGGTGCCGTCACCCCTCGAGTAATCCTCACAAGTCGCATTTTTGCTCTGCCCATACACAGCATGCTCTATGCATTAGTGTCAAAATGTTCAATCAATTCGACATATTCATTCCCGACGTCCAGTAGTACCTCTTTTGAACAGGCGTAGTCCAACCATTCTTGCCTGTGTCTATCCACGCCATTTGAACACCTAAAACACAGCATGCATACTTATAAAGGCAAAAACTGCACCGTGTGGCCATTTATAGTAGTGTCTCACTCACCTTTGGAGTACGTTGCACCAGCTACAACCGGTGGTTTGTGTGGACGAGAGGCAAAGCTCGCAGCCGGCATGCTGCAGGCAAGCTGAGCAGAGAGAGAGAGAGAGAGAGAGAAGCACAACAACAGAGGATGTATTGTTTAAATGTTGATGCAGACAATTATATTGAAACTAATCCTTTGAAAATGGGGGGTAAGGATCACTTACTAGGCAGTGGAGTGAACTCAATGGCAGATAAGGAGGTGATGTTTGTAGAGTCAATTTCAACCCGGTGGTACTCATAAATTGTCCGCCGTTGGGCATCTGAATCGCAGATAAATCAGGTTTATCGAGAGTAGATGACAATTCATTTGCTTGGTCCATAAGTGAATAACAGTAAACATAAGTAGGCCTACAGAAAGAGAAAAGCAAAAAAGGTTGGCGCTACACTGGCTTAAATACATGATGGTTTTCCAAAAACTCTCTGAAGGCTTATTATCTCTTTATATAAGTGGAAAGCCTTTGACGTTACTGCTGACCTGGGGATTGAGGAGAAGGTTGCGTGACCATGAAGGCATCGGACAGACCGGCCTTCACCGGATGCTCAGCGGAACCAATTCCATCCAATGACAGCGGCATCTGATGAACAGACAAAAAAGAGGAATCTCTCTCACGTTGTCGGCAGAAGGGAGTAGAACACGTCTAGAAGCCCATTGAGAGCTCAGGGGTGTGTCTCACATCTCGGTAGCTGAATGCGATGGCTCCTGTTTTGTAAAGTGAAGCCTGAAACGTGAAGGCCCCTTCGGACTCTTTTCCGGAGAGTCTTACCCGCTCCCACTGGACCACAAACACCTCCCCTAAAAAAAAGAGTGAAGGTCAACAAGGAGCCAGACAAGTAATCAGACAATTCTCTTCAAATGTGAGCTGGTGTCTCACCATTATCCAGGTACTGCACAGTGGACTCTTTAGAGTAGCTGGGGTCAAAATTAGCCATCAGGGGGGCAATGTACTGTGTTGTCGTCAGCAAACGGTGAGTAATGTCCCCTGTGAAGATAAAGCCTGAAAATAGCCAGACGGAAGACTTGTTAACTTGTAAAAACTCATCTCTGCTGTGGACAAGCGCTGTAAATGGTTCCCTCTGCTGTCAAATTAAAAAAAAGGTACCTCCAGTTGCTATTGTGATCTGCCTCAGGTAATGTCCGTAAAAAGGAAAGTCAAATGACAGGGCAACCTTCTGCGAGGAGGACACGGAGAGACAGACAGAGGGAAAGAATTAGAAGTTGAGGATATATTTTGTTCTTCTATGGCAGTAGGGGTCCTCATCAGCGTCCCAGTTTCTCTCCGTATGCCGAGGACAATTTAAAAGGTCTAATATAAATATTTTCACTTTAAACAGACACAAAATCTAAATATTGAAAGGCTTGCTGTCTCGAGCTGCACGTAGATTATAACCACAGACCTCCTAATCGGCAAAATACACTGAGCTGTTACCCATAAAACAACTTCATCAACAACATCTTATCTTTTCATGAAGGCTTGCTAGAACAATATAAAAATGATTTAAACCCAATAGAAAACATTCTAAAAGATAGTATAATCCCATTTCATACAATTGAGAGACTGAATACGTTGCTCGTATTGATACCTTTTAAATATCATGGATGAAACATTAACTCATTTGGCAGATTGCATGATTTAAGCACTCACCGGAAACATGCAAATCACACATTTTACTATCAGCATGTAAGATCACTTCAAAGACACAGAAAAGCTCCCTGAAAATGATTTCACAATTGTTTGGCACCAAGTATTTTCTGTGCCAAATGCACCACTAAGCTACAGTCTTCGTATGAAAGGTAAAATGCTTACAATGGTGACCAGATAAAGTACAACACAAATTTCTCTTTTATTTAGTTTGTGTGTGTGTGTGTGAGGGAGACTCACCACAGCCTGCTTGTATGAGTTTGACAGAATGCCGTGCACTCTCACTTGGCCATGCCGGACGTCGCTCATGTCCACCCAGAGCTCCTCTGTGCGCTGATCTTCTGGACCAAAGGAACGCCATGTGTAGTACTTCCCAGAATCCTCCTTGCACACACAAAAGACACAGAGGATCAGAGGGCGCGAGGACGTTGAGGGAGTGAGTCCGGCAGGCGTCAAGAGTTTACTTGTGTGCCGTCACAAATGGAAATAAGTACATTTATATTTCCAAAAAAAAGCAGTTTTGAACATGTCAAAAGCCAGAGCATAACAAATGCCACAAATCCTCAGTCATGCAGCTCTCACCACTACACGTGTCATGTTGTCTGGCAAGGTGTCGATGGTTAGTCCTCCACCCAGGACCGCCCTGCTTATTTTGGAGGGGCCTGAAGATGACCGCTGCACTCTGTGGGGATGACTGTCGGCTCCACTTGACTCTCCGTGCTGCCTCGACGTCACGCTGTAACAATTGTCTTTCCAAAACAATGAATATTAGGTTAGTGTGTTATTGTGGATGTCAGGATATAAGCACTCGCAACTTTCCCCTATGCGAGCTTATTCATATCTGATTCAAAACCCTGTAGATTAGAAGGCTCATTTTAAAAGCAAAGGACGAAAAAGCCCACCCAGCTTCTGGCAGCGGCATCACACACTGTTGGGAAACATTTCAGATGACAGTTTTAATCAGAGTGTTTACAGTTGCCACTCAGGCAGATGAGAAACGATCATTTCCTTTTGGCATTGTCAGTTTTAGCCTTTTCAGATAAAGACGTTGTTGAATGACAACAGAAACAATCCACATAACATTTTGCGCTGAAGGAGTTGTCAAATCCTACATACATTGTAAACCATATTTAGTAAGCAGACTGAGGTAGGCAGTGTTTTAAACTTCTTGGTATTTTAATTGATGGCTTGTCTTTTTTTTCAAAGCCACACATTGAAATTCACATATTCATAGTTAATGTTAGGAGTTAATTTTAGCATCACTTTGGGATTTATTTACTGAGTGTGGAAAATGCACGTCTGCTGGGGAACCGAGACGAGGATGTGGATGTAAACATCTTGGTCCTCGCATAACCTCAGTTATTGACACAGCTGTACATTTGGAGCTAAAAGATCACCCAAGAGTAATTCACGTTGATGATGTACAAAAGAGGCAATGCAGG